CTCAGGGAGGCAGTGAAGGACAGGAAGGCCTGGCGCAATATGGTTCATGGGGTCACGAAGAGTCGGACACGACTTAACGACTAAACAACAACAACAACTATGTTTGTCTTACAATGCAGTACCTTTGTAGGACAGCCACACTGTTTATATGGACAATCGATTTCCATTTCAGGGCATACCAAGACATGATCTTCTACCTGTAAATATCACAGAATTAAGTTAGGCATTAATGAAACATTTTGGTAGGGGGAAACATTTTGGTAGGGTTAATAAGCATAAATTTTGCCAAAGTTCTATAAAAAGAAAAATGCCATTAGAATACAGAAATTGTCTAATGATCAATTACAATTTCAATAATAATTTTAATTCTACATTGTACTTTCATGAAAATATAGACCCCAAACTTACAGAATGACTTTACTAACATTAAAAACAGTTCTTTGCATGCCAGGTGAAAACTAGCAAAAATTGGCATAGTGTGTTCTTATAACATTCTATTATTATATTTTATAATTCTTCTCCTAACAAATCAAAAATAATCTTGTACCTCTTTCATCAGAATCATCTGCATGCAGCCGTAGGGACAAATCCAGGGATAATCTGGACAATCTATTTTCTCATGGGTCTGAAAATACATTGGAAGATGGTGATGCTGACAATTAAACAAGCACAACAAAGAGATTTGGCATCGTGTGAAAATAAGTGACATACAAATGATTGTAAATAAATGTTTATTTATTGATCACTGCTCATTTAAACCCTCAATGGAAGCAATTATGGGCACAGCCCACCAGGACAATCCCTTATGAAGATTATTGATATAATCAGAAGGAATACAGTTAATTACTTTTCTAAAAGTTCTATCTGTGCACACCTGCTATCATTCCAGTTGAGTTTGCCCAATGGACAATAGCAGAATGTTGTAATGTGGAGTCCCTGTTCAGTGCTCCAGCCAATCAGCTATGCTTTCTTCCTGGTTCTTACATTTCTTTCTCCCCAAAATACAATTAGCATGCTCAGACTCACACACACACCCAAAGCACCCACATAACTACACACATCTAGCTTGGTAGTGCATTTTGGCTTTATAAAGATAAGCTGTCACAGATCTGATACCACAGTTAGTATATTAGATATAGGCATTTCTAAACTGCTAATCTTTCATCATTACATTACTGTAATGGTCTGTGAGAATAACCGTGAGAGACAGGAAGAGGAGCTGCAGCCTAGGCAATAGTCAGACAAGAAATATCTCAGCCCACAGAAGGAATGAACACATGGGTAGTGGCTCAGAAGGGACCCTCTGTAGTTCTCTGGAAAGTAACAGTGAGGAAGAGAAGAAGTATTTTCATGCTTGCAAGGCTAATGTCAGCCCTTCAAGGTAGCCCAGGCAAGAAAATAAAACCCTGAGTGCTAACTTTATTGTAAGATTACGATAACAGGATCTTGCAAGACTGAAAGCATGTCTTCTCTATCTTGCCTTTACTTTTCAGAGAACTAGGAAGGATCCATTGCAGTTACTTATTTCTCTTGATTATTTTCCTCCATCTTCTGTTGTCTTTAAGCAGAAGGAAGTGGTCTATATTTGAAAATATGGTCAAACAACTAGCAATAACTAATTGGTTATAAAACAGAAAACTGGTATATGCTTCTAGTTTTTTAGAACTTATTCCATAGACATTGCGGAACTTTTTATTTCTCTTGCTGGTTGAAAAGCACCAAGTGTGAATTAAAAATGCTACTTTCCCAAGCTGAAGCTGCTATAAATGACAATGATTTGGTACTTTAAGAATGAGCAAGACAAAATCATTTCAGAAAGCTTCTGAGAAAGTTATGGCAACATGAACTACTTCTTGCAGTTCTAGCAAGCTCTGATACAGAAATGATAGCATCTCACAGTTGGTAGCTATTTAGCAGCCTCTGGATCTCAGCTAGTGTCCAAGAGGCTTATAATTAAAAGGAGAAAATATGTAACTGCATTTTCAAAATTATGGGGTTTATAGATGATAGCATAATTCAGAGTGCCTTCATTATTTTCAAGACTGTGACAGATCTCATGGGACACAGTAATCTGTAAGAAACTTTCTCCAATGTGACACTTTCCAGATGTGCTGATATATAATTTAACAGCATCCTAAAAATGAAATTATGTCATTTAAAATACATAATTTAAAACATTTTAGTTGAACCCAACCTTTAAATTAACTGATATCACAGGCTGTTTACAATACTGGCACTGTTCTTTTCGAAAGATACATTGTTCAGCAAGGTGTTCTTTCAAATCCTTCAGAAGAATTTTTTCATGACAGCCTTCATTAGTACACTGTACAGTTTCAAACAGACACTGTTGCAGGTGATCCTGTAAAGCAGAATAATGCATTATAGATTGTACCCGCATTAGACAAGTTGCCATAATATGCAGAGGTGGCAGCCACAGCCTCTAGGTTTCTACTCATGAATTACCACATCAATCCTTCTCCCTCCAAGCAAACATAAACCTCTGTTTTTTCTTCTCCCATTTTCTGCTGGTGATAAAAGTTGTATTTGCTTGAAATATTAAGTCAAAGAATAGAAGCTTTTGTCAGTTTTGAATAAAATATCACTGAAATAAAACTACAACCACCTCATATTCTGCTATAAGAGGATTTTGCATAGTTGGGCCATTTCTTTACAGTTTATTCTTTGAGGAAGCTGTTCTTAGTATAGAACTGATGGTGCTTAATAGATTTCTTCTCCAGTTTAGTAGTATCCTCATTAATCTCCTTCCATATATGCAGAAGGAGAGCAAATTTGCGGAGAGCATGTGCTTTGACCTCCTTGTTGACTAAAAGCTTCTTTTAGTCAACATACTCAGCAAACTGTAACTGTAGTGCCAATTTAGCAAGTTTACTCCATGTGCAAAAAAGGTTTCCATATATATTCCATATCTTCTACATATATAAAACACTGACATAAATTCAAAACAGAGTCCAGAAGACTGCCAGGAAGGCATAGAAAGGAAGAGATGAGAAATGCAACCACAAGGTTTAATAATACAATATGAACATAAGGGTCATTAGTTGAGATTTAAAAACAGGTACAAAACTCAGACAGGCAATGCAGGCATTTTGAAAGAACAGTTTAGAGTGTGAGCAGAACTAGAACCAGACTGTGAGATCATGATGAAAAGTGCATTTAATGTTAATACAAGGAATTAGAAGCAGCTTTGTATTCAAACATATTTTAAACTGTTTGAAATGTTTAAACTTCTATCTATAGGAAAGGATAAGAAAATATGTATAGAGAATCTCTTTTAAACTCACTGGGCAGAATTCAATGTTCTGTTTTTCCACTGAAATAATTGCAGATATAAAGAAAAAAAACATAGACTAATGCTATTACAATTTATCAGTAACCACACTGTGTTATCAAATGTATTTTTTATTTAAATACAAAACTGCTAAGGAAGTCCAACAATAAAACTGGATTTCAAGTTTTCTAAAATAAGAATGGTAAAAAGGAAGTTGAAAGTAAAACATGAAGGAAGACTACAGTACACTCTCAAACACTTGGGGTCACTCGAAACTGAAATAATAGAAAAGAAAAAAAAACTTTCAGAAAATAGAAATATTTAACAAGAAGAACAAAAGAGCACACATGCATAAAATGCAAGACCATAAGAAATATAAAAAGGATTTTTACAAGAATACCACTAATACCATTAAGACCATCCATAAAAATATTTTAATACATTTAGAATTAAGAAATGAATTAGGAAAATGATTATCTTGTTAAAGTATTACTGGTGAACAGTAAAATGATTGCAAGAAGCTACACCTGTATCTTTAACACAGTTGATGGAAGAGCAATAATCATGCCTGAACTGCCATATTTAGAAAGAGGCTGTGGGACAGAGGCAGATATTCAGTCTTACAAATGATTAGGTTTAAATGGTATTTATCAACTTTCTTTAAAAAAAAATCCATAGCAAAGGATTAAAAAGTGCTCAGAGTATTGCCAGTTTTAAAAAAGAATCTAGGCAAGGTCTTTTAAACTGTTTCACAGAAACCTAGGGTTCCATGAGAACTTTCCATGAGAGCGTCCATAAGACGCTCAATGAAAGACTAACAACAAAAAAGTTCACATGAATGGAGCTGATTTTCTATCACTAGAGTTTTGCCTCTTGATCAGGGATTCTGGGATTTTTTTTTTAAACTAACAGATTCCGCATCCTGAAAAAGTTTGAAAACCCCTGTCCAATTCTATGTATTTTAGAATTATTTCACCATTTCAAATATGTGTGGATAAGAATGGTAGACATTGTTTACTTGGACTTTCACAAAAAAATTTCAAGTCAAGTTCTCTTAACCCAAATACTTTGTATACTTCTGATAAAAAACTGAAAGAAGACAGTAGAAATATGTGAAAAATCCTCCATTTGAAGGGACACAAATACAGGCTCCCTCAAGAATCTTTAAAAATATTCATATATGACATTAATTAATAGCAAGTCCCAAGGCAGCAACAATTGCTGACAACACCAAATTATTTAAAGGAAGGAAAGATGGTTTCTCCCTGCCACCACCTTTAGCTTACTTCCTTGATGCTTCTTCTACCTGAGCTTAATCTTTTTTTCCCTAAGCTGGAAGGGGCCTTCTTCTAAGCAAAGCATTAGCTTGCAACCATACATCTTTGGGGGGGCGGTGTCTATGGGGAAAGCTGATGCATTATTGCATGCTAGTGTCCCTTTTTAAAATTTATTTGGGACAGGGAACCTGATGGGCATCAAGGAAGATATCATGGGTAGCAAATTACCTTTCCTTCCAACTGCAGAGTCAAAGGGATTTCTGTACCCTCAAACTAGAAGTCATGTGTTCCCAAACCAGATCCTAGTATTTTATTCAAGTTGTCCCCCTTTCTGCTCTGTTTTATTTAGCATGCATCTGCTTTTGCTCAAAACAACTTTATTTAAAAACTAGGCAGGACAGTAAAGTGCTGTTCTAGACCACTATCTCACTGCATTCTATATATGCAGTTTGGCTCCCAGAGTCAGTGGGGAGCATAACTGCTCATTTATGGAATAAAATAAAAGCCAAACAAAGGATACTCATAGAAACAGTAAATGGCATTAAGTCCATGATTAATTCAATGGGCAAACATCCAACTCAATAGGACAAAATATAGCTTAAACTTCAATTTCAGCACTGGCTAGATGGAAAGGAAGGAGAACACAGAGCAGATTTCTGAAAAATGCTAGGCTTTTCATGTTCTTGAACAACAGATTTGGAAGAGCTTGTTTAGGCTATCAAGCCAAACCTCTCCGTGCATCTTGAGAATAGGTTACAAAAAGTTGCTATGGACAGGGAAAGAGTTGCAATTTTCTGATTATTGTTATTTTCTTCAAAAAGATACTTCATAAAAAGGCTGAAGAAAGTTTGGTTTTCAGTTTCTGGAAGCATTTACGTTCAACTTGCTTGTCATTATAATACAGGAGTACAAACCTGGTATCGCCCTAGAGATAATTTTGCAGTGCAGGTTGGTGAATTTTTACAAAATACTTGCAGGTTGAGTACTTCTCTTTTGCAGCAATTATCTTTGAAAACCTAAATTAAAACAAAAAGTATAATTGTTTCCAAATACAGCCAAAAGATAGGAATTCATGACAATCCTTTTAAATTAAACCTTTAAGACAAAGCCTGGCACATTACTGAGAATTAATTTATTACATTTTATATATTATTTATGTGTATTTTATATACATGATGTTCCCCTCTGACAGCTGCAAGGTTATGTGAGGAATGAAAGAAAAGGGAAAGAACACACACACACACACACACCCTCTCACCCCTATGGGTGTTATGTGTCTTCCTCAATCGCGGGTCCTCTACCAGAGGCCTGGGAGTTTGAGGGTTCTGCACAGTATCTTAGCTGTTCCTAGCACTGTGCTCTTCTGGACAGAGAGCTCTAATGCTGTTCCTGGGATCTGTGGGAGCCACTCTCCCAGCTTAGCAGTCACAGCCCCGAGTGCTCCTACCACCACTGGGACCACTTTAGCCTTTAC